AGCAGCAGCAGCAGCAGCAGCAGCAGCAGCAGCAGCAGCAGCAGCAGCAGCAGCAGCAGCAGCAGCAACGCACCTGCACATCCTCATCCGCTGACGTTGTAGGCACTTGTCTTCTCATTTTCTTTGTAGGGGACTTTGCTGCTGCTGCTGCTGCTGCTGCTGCTGCTGCTGTTGCTGCTGGTGCTGCTGCTGCTGCTGCTGCTGCTGCTGTTGCTGCTGGTGCTGCTGCTGCTCTTGATTCTCTTGCTGCTTGAAACAACGCTCCTGTAGCTGCAGCTGTAGCTGCTGCTGCTGCAACAGCTGGAGGGGCTCGGCTGCTGCAGCAGCTGCTGCTGCTGTTGCTGCTGTTTCTGCACGTGTGATGGCTGCTGCTGCTGCGCCTGCTGCTGCTGCTGTTGCTGCTGCTGCTGCTGCTGCTGCTGCTTCTGCTGATATAATGTCTGTGCTGGCGCTATAAATTGCGCTGGTGTGGCTCTTGCTGCTGTTGCTGCTGTTGCTGCTGCTGCTGCTCCAACTGCTGCTGCTGCTGCTGCTGCTGCTGCGGGTGCAGCAGCAGCAGCAGCTGCTTCCGTTGATTTACTGAAGACCTGCTGGAAGCTAATGATATTCTGTTGCTGCTGTTGCTGCTGTGTCTGCTGCTGTTGCTGCTGTTGCTGCTGTTGCTGCTGTTGCTGCTGCAGCGGTGCTGCAGCTGCCGTTGTGCTGCAACTGCAGCAGCTGCTGCTGCTGCTGCTGCTGCTCAATTCAATCTGCTGCTGCTTTTTATTTTAATATTTAAATAAAAAAGTAAATGTAAACAATTCATTTATTCTTTTCTTTGTCTTCTCTCTACCCGTGTGGGGCTGCATGCAGGGGGGGCCCCCCTGGGGGGCCCCCCTCTTGCTGCCTGCGCGTTGCTGCTGCTGCTGCTGCTGCTGCAGTTGTTGCTGCTTTTGCTGCAGCAGAGGAACGAAAACCTACGAGATCAATTGTAACAATTAGAGTTTGAATTAGGGTTTAGGGTTTAGGGTTTTAGGGTTTAGGGTTTAGGGTTTGTAGCTGCACCCCAGACAGACCCTGCAGACAAACCGCCGCGAGAGTTATGTGTGTCTCTCTAGCTAGCTGTCTAGCTAGCTAGCTAGCTAGCTGTCTAGCTAGCTAGCTAGCTGTCTAGCTAGCTACCTAGCTGGCTGGCTAGCTACACAGCTAACTATTTCGCTACCAACCT